TGAGGGGCTGGGGTTGTAGCTCAGTGGTTGAGCATTTGCCTCACATGCATGAGGCACAAGGTTGGATCCTCAGCACCACATAAAAAAATAAAATAAAGATATAAAAAATATTAGTTGTTTTTGCAGGCTTTACTGAAAACTTTGTAAAGGAACAGTATATATATCTATATATATACAGTATATATATATACACATACATACATATATATATGAATATACACATATGTATATATAAGATTTGCCAATATATATTTATGTACACACAGATACATAGATAGTATGTGTGTGTGTGTGTGTGTGTGTGTGTGTGTATATATATATATATATATATATATATATATATATATATATATAAATGTATTTTTTTTCTTTTTAGTTGCTGATGGACCCTTATTTTATTTTTTACATGTGGTGCTGAGAATCGAACCCAGGGCCTCACACGTGCTAGGCAAGTGTTCTATCACTAAGCTACAATCCCAGCCTTTGTGAGATTAATTTTATTTCAATTATCAAAAAAATCTCCTGCACTGACAATTTWAAAAAAGTGAATTACACAACCTGAGGAAAGTCTTACTTTTAAACTTTGTATCTGAACCAGAATAAATTCTTCTCATTTTAGAAATCCCAACTCAGATTTCACTTACTTCATGAAGCTTCACCTACTGCTACCAGAGCCAATCCTGGTCTTCAGCTTTTCTGAATTCTTATAATATGTGACATACAAGGTAGCCAACAGTTGGTTTTATTTTTCTCTGTTGGCTTTATCTCTAAAATTAGATTTTGAAGTTCAWTGAAAGTAGGGAAAATATTTTCTCTTCATTTGGAACATTCCATAATACCTTGCAGAGGTGTCATTTAGAAAAGAGGAAACTGCAGACTGATTAATTCTACCTAAGTCATACTAACCTGATTTGAGTGTGTTTATGTGATTATTAAATGAAATAAAACTCAGCAAAAAGCAACACATTATTTCCATTTGCCAGATTTCTCAAGAATATAAATTAATTAGTGCCTGTTGATACAACTGCTGCAGCAATTCTGAACACTGATAACATACATGTATCTGTGGCATTCTAGTGACTTCAGATCATTTTCTTAGACTTATGTAAACTTGGCTTTAGTAAGCCTACTCTTATCCTATAAGTATATTTATTTACAGAGTATGGAATTCACTCTAGAAGCACTTATCCTATAATCCTATTTATTTTTAAAACTAAAAGTTTGGAAATTTATTTCTAATTTTTTTCTCTCCCTTTCTTGGTTGATCATTCTATAAATACTTTTGTATGTCATTCTCATGCATTTTTTTTTGGATTTTTACCACATTCATATGTGTCTATGAATGACCWAATTGTTGTGCATAATTTAAAATTTTAAATGTTCTCATACTCTACTCATCATTTTGCAATCTCCCTTTTTCCTCTTCACAATATGTATTTATAATTTGTCTCATTTTTACTATACTCTAGATAATCCATTTTAACCTCAATGTAAAATTTAACTTTAGCAAACCTATTTTTTCTATTGTTGCACATCTAAACTATTTCCCAGGTATAAAAAAATGCTACAAAGAATGTTCATGTTCTTATCTACTTATGCACTTAAATGAGAGTTTTTCTGATATATATATATAAATAGAGTTGCTGGGTGTGTTTTTCTTCAACTTTAATTTTGCCAGATATCTCTCCAAAATGGTTGCAATAATTTAGATTCCCAGCAGTAATATGCAAGAGTTCTCATTTTTCCCACATCCTTGCTTAGTTAATGTTCATGCGATTTGTCACAGTGCAGAGACTTCAGCCATCAAGACCCTGTTCTGCCCACTCACTGTATGACTTAATGGGATCAATGCCTTATGGTGCATCCAATGGGAAGCTCTACTTTGTAGTTCTCTACTATTTTTATTTTTTGGCCAGCTTCATCTGTCAATTAATTAAGATTTACTTCTTCATCCTAATTCTATGATTTTTCCCTTTATTTATGTGGAAATACTAGTTCTTAATTGTTATGTCTTCCAGTAAATAATTCTTTTATCATTAAAGAGTTTTACTTTTTATTYCAAATGACACTTCTCGTTTCTAATTCCATTCACTTTCTATTAAGTCTGTTAAATGCTGTTAACATTTCTGCATAGTCTTTTTTTTCATTTGTATTTCTTACATCTATTTTTACTTTTATTTTCAAGTTTCTGGATGATTTTGTATGTGCATCTTGAACTTTAGGGTATTGTTTTTATTTATTTATTTATTTTTGCAGTGCTAGGGATCAAACCCAGTGCCCTGTGGATGATAGGTTAGTGCTTTACCATGAGGCTATACTGCCAGCCTCAGACCTATGTAGATTTATTTGTTTGCTTGCTACAAATGAAATGGGTGTTTTTGATCCTTTAATAAATGAGTTCTATTCAATTGTCTCCTATAGTGATTTTGGTACATTTGAATTTATCTAAGTCTTATATTTACTCTCTTTTCTGTCTTTTTTCCCTTTTATTCCTTTTCTGTTTTCTATAAGACTAGTGAAGTATTCCATATTTTTTTCATATTTGTTGAATTTGAAGTTACGCATTTTCTTTCTTCATTTTCTTTTTATTTCTTTCTCTCTTTTTTTTTTTTTTTTTGAACCTAGGATATTGAACCCAGGGGCACTTAACCATTGGGCCACATCCTCAGCCCTTTTTAATTTTTTTTTTTTTTTATTTTGAGACAGGGTCTCACTAAATTGCTTAGGGCCAGCCTCAGTTACTGAGACTGGCTTCCCACTTGTGATCAGCCTTCTGAGCCATTGGGATTCCAGGTGTGTGCTGTTTCACTTTAAAGATAAAATATCTAGAAAATGTAACTATCTGATAAAGCTAACAACTAACAAGTTTTTTCAATATATTATAGCCTATTAAGAGAAAATAATAAAAAGAAAACGAAGGAAATAAAAAGAGAAATAAAGGTACAAAAAGTAAGGTTTTTTGTAAGAGGAAAGAGATATCCACAAATACATAAAGACATCCACATCCTCAAGGTCAGAGTTTATGAAGTAAAATCTTTTATTACAGCTATAGTTCTCTTGGAGCTTCCTTTCCAGGTATTTAGTCAAGGTGTGGAGACTGTTCCAGCCTTGGTCATTCTAGCCTTAACTTTTCCTTAAGGTTTACCCCCTATTTATACGCAGATACTTGTGGCCAATATGACACCTTGTGAGTACATTTCAGAYTCTTCTGAAAGCAGGTTTTATAGGAGAAGGAGAATGAAGGGAAGGGGGAGGAGGAGGGGAAGAAGAAGAGGAGGAAGAAGAAGAAGAAGTAGTAGTAGTAGAAGTAAGAGCGCTGGTCTCCAGAGAAGAAAAGGGCATGAAAGTGGCTGCGGAGGTGTCTTAGCAAACTCTCCAATTTAGCCAGGACTGAATCTGCATGCTGGGCAAGCTCCTTTCCTGGCAGCCCCATAGTATCACAGAATGCCAGAGAATGCAGAAAGAAGGTCCCTTGGATAGTACTTCCTCCCTCCACCTTGGAAACCGACTTCCAGTTGAGAGCTTAAAAAATTGTGTGATTAATTCTAACAGGCTTCTCTTTCTTGAGTACCTTTCACATTCACCACCTTGTTTAGTCTCACATCCACCTCCCTGRAACATTAGAGTTTTTGTCCTCATTTAAAGGCCTGAAGAAATTGAGGTGGTGAGAGATAAAATAGTTTGCTCAAAGTCAGGGCACAGCGTACTGAACACCAAAGCCCTTATGCCTTACCATGACCTCTCGTCCTGTGGCTACTTGCAAGCAGTGGATGTTATTAAACAAGAGGTGTTGCCAGAAATAGTTTCCASTCCATTCACCCAGCTCTGAACAAGATTTAAAAACCAAAACAAGATTTAAATGACTATGGGCTGTGGTTGTGGCTCAGGTAATAAAGTGCTTGCCTAGCACACGTGAGGCACTGGTTTCAATCCTCAGCACCACATACAAATAAAATAAAAATATTGTGTTCACCTAAAAAAAACACCTAAAAAATAGATATTAAAAAAAAAGATTTAAAAGACCAAACAAAACCAGTGGTTATATGAAAGAGTGAGCAAAGACAATGGTCCTTGGGGATTGGGATTYCACACCTGGCCCAGAAGATTTGCAAAGATGTGGTTTGTAAACAAGCTATAGAAAAGATCAAGAAAATTTGGCTGTACATTAAGGCAGCCCAAATCCTTCTAGGATATAAGACAGGAGGGATTCTTATAGTGGTAAAATGGAAAATAAAAGAGAATTCTTTCCAAAGGCTCTAGGGAGGCTGCAAAGAAAACCACTAAGCTGTTTTGAAAGTAAAAGATAAAGCCACTTTTGTTATTTCCCTGAAAGAAGTGGAGTGTGGTGTTGATAAACACTGTTTTATGTACAGATAAAAAGCAAAACCAGGCCATGCAGTAGTGACTGGCAAAAACTATTATTGATGAAAGGAACAGGAGAGGCCAAGTGAAAGGCCTGACCTCCAAGGGACTAGAGGCCTCTGAGCAAGACAAAGCTATTGTCTGAGTTGAATATTGTTTAATAAAAAGAATTCGTGCTTTCCTATACTTGGACTCTCAGAGACTAATAAAATTGTGTTGTCTAATATAATAGGTTATTTGAGCTTGAAATTGTGGGAGGGGGAAAAACCCAAATATAGGTATTCAAATTTACACTAAATGTAAGAATTAGGCAGATGATCTTCAGAAACTTTTGTCCCACTAAACTCTGTGGATACAAAAATCTCAGAAGATTAGAGACCTATTCTGTGAACACAAAATTACAAATCTAGGAGAAATTCAGTCATGATTTAAATTTCTGTAATTTCTTTGAAACATAAGCCATGGAAAGTCCAGTTCACTTTTAGGAGCCGTGAATTTCACACTGTTCTAGGAAATAGTACTGTTGCCCTTTTGGAACTGATTATTTGTAGTTTTTGCTGATTTTTATTATGAAGATYTATACTTTGATGAAGAGGAGACAGTCTTTTTTAACTATTTGAAGTTTATTCTTTTTTGACATAAAACTATGGAACACTCAGATAATCTATGTCATGTTAGTATTCCTACAAGAGAAAACAGGTAAGACTATGTAGGAAGCACTAGCAGTAAACCTTAATGCAAACAGTCGATGTGTTTAAAAGTTATTAATTCATAACCTGTAAATGTTAACTGTATATGACTTAAATGTTAAGTTCCCACATTTTAAGATTGTCTTCTACAGTACAAATCCATATAGCCAGATTTACCATTGGCTTTGCAAATCAGAGAAGTAGATAGAATGTGCAAGAATCAAAGGATAAATAATATTATGAATGTATATTACTTATATTACCTAGTTAAAGCCATAATCTGTTAAAACAGCTATGGGTTTATTTCAAAAATGTAATTAAATGCATTACTAATAGTGTAGTGGTGTTTTCCAATGTTGGTAAAATTATTAAAGTTCGTCACTTTCATAGAGTCCAGATTGAGCTGCCAGACGCTGAAACTCTCCTTCTGGGTTAAAAGCTTGTTTCACATCCAAACCTTTCCCATTGAGTGCTAAATATTTGCTGAAAGTTGGTCGAACACGCAGCTGTTTAGGAGCTGGAAGTGTTTGGTTTGGACGGGCTGAAATAGATCAAATTAAAGTTAATTCAGAAAACCTATTCTAAACAAGTAAGTCAGTTACACTTGGTATTCATAATCAGACTTTCAAGAAAAAAAATGATTATGGGGAAAAGTCCCTTAGGATTTATGCTATACTGAGACTGGTGTTTCTCATTAAAGCTTCCTGGTTAGATTCTTTCTAGCGCTGGGGTCGATAGTGYGACTTACCTGTAACATCTAATCTCGTGTTACATGTGGTCACCCCAGCTTCATTCACTGCAGACACGGTATACCACCCAGCATCTTTCTTGTTTACATCTTTTATCAGTAAAGTCACTCTCCCAGCATTGTCATGATATAAGCTAAATGAACAACAAACAAATATAGGAATTAATTTTTTTTTTGGTGAAAGTTTAAGGATGTCTCTGACCTACCAAGTCAGACTAATAAGAAGAAAAATAGTCGAAAATTCCAAGGCTGTATCTGATCATTGCCAAATAGCTATTGGTTTTCTTGAATTAAACATGTCACCTGTGGGTGTAGCTTAGTGCTCACCTACTAAGTAGAAAGCTCTGGATTCAATACTCAGCACCACACACACAAAAAAGCCATCCCCATTCATCTTGTTATATATTTCGTTCAGCCATCTTTCTTCATTGTTAATACAAAGGTAAATCCTAGGCTATTTAAAATTTCAGATTAGTGGACTCTAACTTAATGAATTTTCATTACATTTCTTTATGCATTTTAAAAAATTAGACAAATTGAGACTATAATTGCATGCCATTTATWATGTATGTTAAAGTATAACTGTATTCATCCAAATCAACTCCAGGCAAATCTAGAAATACTTATCCTACCTTATTCGGTCAGTGTTGAATTGTACCATTTCATTATTCCTTTTCCAGAAAAGCTTTGGTGGAGGTATAGCTGAGATCTGGCATTCTAGTTTCACTGATTCTCCCTCAAAAACTTTTTTGCTCTGTGGTTTGTAGATAAACATTGGTGCTCGTTTATGTTCTTTTGCTACACATTAATAAAAAAAATCAAGTGTTCTGAATATTATAAAATGATATAAATCAAACTTGTGTATGTTGACATTAAAGTTTTTAAAAGCAGCAACAGAATTAGAAACTTTTTTAGTTTTAGTTAAAATGCTACAACATACATTACTATTTCATGATGTTGAATTCTTTAATTGTAACATAATGACTCATTGAATTTATAATTATGTTTTATTCAAAGAATTTAAGTCATTGATCTGTAGGGAAGTAGCATGCGTGGTGGTAATAGTTCTAGACTTGGGTTCATCTTCTCTGTTGGGGGCATGTAGCTCAGTGGCACTTGCCTAGCATGTGTGAGGCACTGGGTTCCATCCTCAGCACCACATAAAAATAAACAAATAAAGGCATTCTGTTCATTTAAAACTACAATTTTTTTAAAAAAATAGGCAAATATCTGTAATTATTATGACTTTGTGAAGCACATGAGTGAAGGAAAAAGTGATGGTAGAGTACTGTAATTCTGGCTTTTCTGAAGGAGAAATGAGGAGGCTGGACAGATGCCAGCCACGGTCTCTTTGAGCTGTAATACAGAATTTCTGAAGCCATCAGCACAAATAGACTTGCCCAAAGTTTAATCACTTGAATTATGTGTTTATTATGTTTTATTCCTAGGTCACTAGATTTTCTCTTAGATTTTCAGGCCTTTTCAGACTATCATAGAAAAATATTAAAAGATTTTTATTTAATTTTGACATAATACAAACTCAAAATGTCTGTCTTTTAACCTGATCAAGTATTTTATATAATAAACAGTGAATTAAGGCAAAATATCCCATATATGATAATACCATAGTTTAAACCATTTTAAATGTGGTATGTTTAAAGTACTTACATTGTAAAACAGACCATGAGTTTTTTAAGAACTCTTCTACCAAAAAGAAATTTGAGGCATAAGTTTTGTCATGCCTGTTTACTAAAACAAGTGAATATATTTTTGTTATAATTAGAGACTGATTTCCTAGAAAAGTTACCATTTAGCCAGGTATGATGATACTCATCTATAATCCCAGTAACTTGAGAGGCTGTGGCAGGAGGACCGTCAAGGTCAGCCTCAGAAACTTAGTCGCAAAATAAAAAATAAAATTTTTAAAGTTTTATTTTTTAAAAATAAAATTTTTAAAGATATATAGCTCAGTGGTAAAGCATCCTTGGGTTCAATCTCCAGCATAAATAAATATTGCCATTAACTCATTTAAAATTATGATAGTTTATGACAATTCTGTAATAACATGAGTCAGGTTGGTCATTTTAGACTATAGACCAGATAAATAATATAAAGTTTTTACTTTGAACCCCCATAGGTTCAAATTTAGTCTGTCTAAAATTTTATGATTTCTTTTCTAGAAAAGCTTTGATGGTAGATCTGTCATTCTAATTTCACTGACTTTCCCTCAAGATGTCTTTTTTAAAAATTGTTGTTGTTCTTGTAGATAAAAATTGGCATTCTTCTAGGCTGGGTAGACATCARCCTGGAGCATGAATTCTTTKGGGGTTTTCTTTTCTTTTCTTTTCTTTTTTTAAATACTTTTTCTGTACTGCTGGATTTGAAGGCTCTCTTCAGTCTTACCAAGGACATCCAGCTGCACGGTGAAGGTGGCTTCCCCTGCTCTGTTCCTGGCAACACATGCATAAGCCCCTGCATCTGAAGCTCTGACCACTTCAAAGATGAGTGAATGGAAACCCTTCTCAGATACTATCATCTTGTGCAACTCATCCGACTGAACTGGTCTTCCATTTAGATACCATGACACATCAGGAGCYGGCAGGCCACTCACCTAGAAACAAAAACACAGGGCATGACAGAATTATAAAAGTATGGCATCATGGGAACCCACTTGTCCACTTAGGAATTTTTAACAATTTCAGTTATCTGAGTGGGTTTGTGATAAAAAATGCAAAGCAAGAGCTTGAAAAGTTATTTGTAATTTAAAAAAAYGAAAGAGTGGAATTAAAACCCATGAAGTTAATATATTATTTTCAGACTAGCTCAAGTCCCATCTAACTTTCATATACAACCTCAAGCTCTTTACGATCTTAATTAGTATATTGACAACATTAATTTGTGTTACGTTGGTCTCCTCAAGGAATATGGAAGTCGTATGGCTTTTCTGGCTGAATGTGACTGCAAAGGAAGTCCCAGCGGCACTTATCTAATTGTTGATTGAATGAGTAACTTTTCAAAAACAGCATTCTTCAGCTACAGTTTGTTAAACGGCAGTTTGTTAAACATTTTTGGATAAGCCTTAACACTAACTTTTATTGATAAGAAATCTGAAAAAAGCATTTTCTAAGAATAAGATTTCCAAAATGAGAATAATAAAAAATGTAGTCTTTTCTAAAGAGCTGTTCTAGCCTAAAAAAAATTAAACACCTCTTCTAGGCCAATAGAAAGCAGGGTAGCTTAAATTTTTTGATGGAGGAGAATTAGAGCTGCATCATACTTTAGAATTCCTACTGTTATGAGACCTTTGGTTTATATAGAGTATTAATAGGGTATACCTATTTACTCAATTAATCATTATAAGTTTATAAGGTACRTGTCTTCGTCATTCCCATTTTACAGAAGAGGAGACAAAAGCACAGAGTAGTTGTTATGGTTTGGATAGGAGATATTCCACCCAAAACTCACATCTGAGACAATGCAAGAAAGTTCAAAGTGACAGGAATGGGAGGTTATACTTCAGGTATGTATAATGTGTTAAAATACACTCTATTGTCATGTGTATCTAAAAAGAACAAATTTTAAAAATTAAAAAATTCAAAGGGAAATGATTGGGTTACAAAAGCTTTGACCTATATCAGTGCATAATTCACTTGAATGGATTAACTGGGTGGTAACTGTAGGGAGGTTGGGTGTGCCTGGAGGACACTGAGGAATGTGCCTTTGGTATATATTTTGCCCCTGATGAGAGAATCTCCCCCCTCTTCTCTCTCCCTCTCCCCCCACCTCCCCTCTCTCACTCCCCCCCACCTCCCCTCTCCTTCCTGTCATGTCCAGAGCTGCTTTTCCTTTGTCACACCCTTCTTCCTAGATGTTCTGCATCACCTTGGGCCCGCTGCAATGAAGTTGGCTGTCTAGGGACTGAGACCTCTGAAACCATGAGTGCCAAATAAACTTTTCCTTCTCTCATTGTTCTTGTCACGTCTTTTGGTCACAGCAAAGAAATAGCTGACTAAGACAGCAGTTAAGTGACTTGTCTAAGTTTACACAGCTGAAAAGAGGCAGAGTCAGAGTCAGGATTCAAACTCATATCAGTTCAGCTCCAGAATTTGTGCTCTTATTTATTTATATGTACTACTTTTCCGGTCTTTCCCTTTTCTTTTTTGGAATTTTTGTCTTTCCAAAAAAATATTTATTGGTGCATCATAATTATACATATTAGTGGGATTTGTTGTTACATGTTCATATATGCATACAATTTCATTCCCCTGTACTTCCCTTTTACCTCCTCTCCTCCCTTCCTCTACGCTACTGTTTCACTTCTATTTTCATGAGAACTCTGTCTCCTTCACCTGCTTTTCTTCTCTCTCGTTTTTATATGTGAGAGAAAAACTACAACCTTTGACTTTTTCTGAGATTGGCTCATTTCACTTAACATAATATTCTTAAGTTCCATTTGTTTTCCTGAAAATGACATAATTTTGTTCTTCTTTATGGCTGAATAAAACTCCATTGTATATAAATGCCACATTTTCTTTATCCATTCATTCAGTTATGAASACCTAGACTGGTTCCATAGTTTGGCTATTATGAATTGTGCTACTTGGGTATGCGTGTATTCCTATAGTATGATGAGTTTAATTCTTTAGGATAAATACCAAGCAGTGTTATAGCTGGGTCATATGGTGGTTCCATTCCCAGCCTTTTGAGGCCCCTGCATTCTGATTTCTATAGTGGAACATACTCTACTTTTCAAGCTGTGTACCAAGCTATACAGTAGGAAGAAAATATAATTTTCAAAATTTGRTATCTCATGGTCAATCTTCCCCCAGAATGTTAAACTCTTCTCTTACTTTGAAGTCCATTCTGCAGAATCTTCCTTCTTCAATTGACATGTTTTCTGGCACTTGAATGAAACGAGGTGGGTAAAATTTCTCCTGGATTGCATCCTGATCATTCACATCTCCTCTTGAGGATGATCTACTTCTACAAAAACATTTTAATAATAACAATGCATAAATGTTGTCATGCAAGTATAGTTTGGTCATGAAGTTTGAAAGCCCAGAACCTACTGTTTGATTTGTTAGTATAGTAACAATGGGCTGGACTATTAGAAATGGTAGCAATTCAAACATTTGGTACATTTTTGCAGGAAATGATTGCCTTGAATTAATGAAGAAGCTGATCCATGAGTACTCCACAGATTATTCTTATCATCTGCAAAGATTTATTAGAATTTGGACAATTTCTCATTGTCATGAGAAAGTTGTTTAACAAGAAAACATAATCTTGGCCTATATTACCAAAACATTTTAAAAAACTTCCTCAATATAAATCTGATTAATATTAATTAATTCTACTTAGTATTAATATAAAATTTAATTACTATTAATATAAAATTTTGGCTCATCATCTCTGACATGAGAAAATTCACATTGTGTTTTAAAAAGTAAAGTAGTAAACTTGAGGGTTTTGTAAATATTGCATTTTTAAGCTAAAAATATTCTAGGTAGCAAAACATCAAAAATGTTAAACTTTTTTTTTTTAATTTTTTTTACCTTACTTGTGATGTAGGAACCTGCAGTCGTGCATGCTCTGGGTTGTGATGCTTGAAATCAAAACATAGTGAGAATGTTAACACACAGGTATTAGCTTAACATGAAGCAGAATTAAGCAGTTGTAGTTGARAAGAACTTGTCTCTTTGGCTGTGTTTGTACAGTCATGGTTAGTTTTATATATTCAATTTTTAAACATTTTAAATAGACTACAAACTTCTTACTCTAGCAAGAAATGCCTACAATAAATACTACTATTTAACAGGTATTATTTATAAAAATTAGCTACACTTGGGATTGATGAGGGTTCATTTTTTAACATAACTATTTTGTGACAAAGGGTGATGTGATCCCCCTGATGTGTTTGAAATGGGAGCACATGGGACAGATTGTCCTTGAGTAAAACAGGAATAGACATGAAGTCACTTTTGTTGGCAGTAGATACAGGGTCTTATGCCTGCTGCTCAAAAGTGGCACCAACATCAGTAAACACACATTAGACTGGAAAATACTTCTCTTTATAGCTCGTGTCACAAAGTCCTATGGGTTGCCATTGGAGATAGGTGTAAAACTGTAAAAGAAAGCTTTGAAAACCAGCATGGATAACTTCCTGTTAATAAAGATATATTTACTTTAAGCAAATATCTTTTAGGATTTATATCCAAGTATCAGAAAATTATTTCTGTTTGAGAAAAAAGTCAGAAATTGATGGAAATTATAATATAATTAATTAATTATTTAGGGACACTTTTGTGTATTTCACTGTTCTTGGAACAGTGGGAGATAAAAAGCAGTGAAATATACAGTCCCTGTTCAAATAAATACCTGAAATAATCCATATGGGAACATAGAAAATCTCAATATAAAAATATATTTTGGGCTGAATCTCTTTAGTTAATATGTCTTAGTTATAAATGGACACAATGACTTTATTTTTAAAATTTGTTTTTATGTAGTTCTGAAGATCGAACCCAGTGTCTCTCATGTGCTAGGCAAGTGCCCTACCACTAAGCCACAWCCCCAGCCCCTGTCTTGTCATTTTTAAACAAGTCTTAACAACTCTAACAATTTTTGGCTAGGCTTAAGGTTCTTTAAAATGTCAAAACAACGATTCATTTCAGTGATCCAAAAAATCCAATAATATTTTTTTGGTTAAATATTATTCAAATTGTTTTGGCTCTGRTTTGAATATATTGTATTCAGAGATGAAGTATTTCTGTTGTACCGTAATTTGATGACATTTTGTATTATTTAGGTATAGTATTTGAAGTAAGAGTTATCTTTTCTGATTCCAAATGATATTTATATTGTTCTTTTTTTCTGGTACTTTTGGCTTCATTTTAAAGGTTTTAAAGAATGAATGAATGAATGAGAAAACAATAGATTCCCACCCTTGGGATATATAATATACTGTGCATTTATAAGATAAACTGTCATCAACATAATGTTGCTCTGAGTAATTTCTACTATACAGATGGGTTTGTGTCTTATTCTTGTTGTAATTTCCTGCACCAAGTTTGGAGCCCAATAACTAATGGGTGTTCCATGTAAATATGCTGAATTAATGAATGAACAAACTGCAGTCACCAAGATGAAATATAAGTTCTATCTTCAATGTTTACTTTTTTCTTCATTCGATCGTGCTCATCCTTTTTCATAGGTCTAATTGCATTTAACAGAAACCAAAACCTGATTTTCAATTTTCTATACTTGGAAGCTTGGAATTCTTGAGTTTCCCATTTCCTTCCCATGAGTCCCAGTTTCTTGTGGACTTTTCTGTAGGGCATTAGTGCTAATTATAAAAGGAAGATATGTGCATCTTGGGGCACAGGCCTGTAATCCCAGTGACCCAGGATGCTGAGGCAGAACGATCACCAAGTTTGAGGCCAGCCTGGGGAAGTTAGGGAGACCCCCCCTCTCAAAATAAAAATAACAAAAAGGACTGAGGATGTAGCCCAGTGGTAGAGCACTTGTCTAGCTGCTTCTTCAACTGTATATTTTCCTTTAGGTTAAGTTAATCATTAAAAACAGATTGGTCAGACACAATCCTTTGGGATATTCGTTTTATGCCCTCTGTAAAATTAACCTCTTCGTGCAAAGGATTCTTTTGTTAATCTGAGAGTCATTACTTGTAAGAGTTTTTTGTTTTGTTTTGTTTTAAATACAGGAACATGACAAAAGGAATTGAACATTTCATTAGTACCAGGAGTATAATTTAAAACATTGAGATGATTGACATTTATGAGAAAAGGTTTTAATTACTTTGAGCTTTAACTTTTGTCCTGTTAAAGGTTTACAACACAAAGTCTCTGCCCCTGTAGAAAGAGTCCTAGGTCTACCTGACTCCTAAATGTCCAGATAAAAAGTAATATCATCAGCCTGGTGTTTTGATTTTATGTCAGCTCATCTGCAGACATTAGGACTACAGAAAATGTGGTAAAATTTCACACCCGCACCTATACCTACTCGCCATCCATGATGGCCTTTGTATATTCTAATGGAGAATGRAAGTGATTGGCTTTTATTTGCAGTGCTGTTTATAAGCATTTAGAAAAKCAGACATTTAAAAATTGCACAGAATAAAAGTGCTTTAAGCTGGGTGTTGTGATCTGTGCTTGTAGTCACAGGAATTTGAGGCATCTTGAGCAATATAGCATGAACCTATCTAAAAAACAAAAGAAAGAAAGAAAGAAAAAAGTTTTACTCAGATAAAGGTTATTTTAATTTACCTGTGGTGAATCCTGTGCATCACTATTCTGAGCCTGAAATACAGCAGCTGCATTCTGTGGTCCCAGCAATCTTCGAGCCATCTTCTCCTCATATGTTAGTCGCTTTAAAGAAGTCAGTAGAAGATGAGCATCAGATTTACTACAAGGTATTCAAACAGATTTACCTTAAAACTACTACTGTAAGTCAGAACTTCAAAGAAGCATGGTTCTGTCCATTGAATTATAGATTCTATGTTTTAAGCCATTCAAAACATTATTTTCCATCTTTGTACTATTTCTCTCATGTCTAATAAAGATTCCTGTAGGATTTCTATTTGCTCCTAAGAAAAACAGGCATAATCACCCTTAGATAAGACCCTCCAAAGTAAGGAGGAAATCTTTCCTTTCCTCCTTATTTTGCATATTCTAGTCTCCTTCTTTTTAAAATATAGTATTGTATAACTTCACATTCAAAAATAAATTTTTATTAAGTGAAACACTGATCATTTGATTGTGCACACTTCTGATTGATACCAGTGCAACTGATACGCTAAATGTACTTGGATTAAAAGGAGATAGCACTGTTTCAAAGATCAGTGATAATACCAATGTACACTGTAAGTGCTACATAAAAATTATAGCTTGATGTATTTATCCATCAATATTATATAACAAAGAACATGAAGAAGTTGGGTTGACAACATTTTCTATTCATTATTTGGCCATCAGACATTTTATGAGGGTGATGCTTAAAACAAAATTTTCATTAAATCATTCAGATTGATTTTTCATTAGATTTATTCTTTTACTATTGAAAACCAATCAGTGATTTCATGCAAAATAATATGAACTAGCCCACAAATATTCCTTCTTTTTAGATAACCCTATTCCTTGTTGCTTATATGAACAAAGATTTGTGAGACAGAAATAACTTTCTTATTGAAATTAGATTTTTATAGTTTAATTGGCCTTTTGTACAAAATAGATATCTTTACTTGATTTCCATTATGAAGAAKGGTGTCCTTGCATTTCAGCTTCCTCTCCAAATCTTGAATCAAAGCTTCTTTAGATCCCTGTATTTCCTGGTCAGGAGTCCTTGGTGTGGGCTTAGCATTTGCAGTTTGGGATGGCTTAGCATTTACAGGTTGACCAACCGAAGATTGTTGATAGCTTATAAAGGAAAAAGAAGAAAACTTCAAAATTTAAAAAAAATAGAATCAACTTCATTTTGTAAGTCATCTGCAGATATGGTGAGAGCACCACAAAGAACTACTAGTGTTATTAAAAACACAAAATATATGGGAAATTAGGATATTTCATGCAGAATAATATGGACTAGCCCACAAATATTCCTTCATGGGAAAACTGGCCACTGCCCTAATGAGTATTTTGCCATGATCATAATGAATGTTCCCTGGTTATACAAATGTGACAGTCTTGGTCTGTTTTCTGACATGTTCCTGTCCAAATATTCATTAAAAAAACTTCTGGGCTAAATGGAAACATAGCTCCTCCCAGTGGAGCGAGACTTCACTTAAGCTGTCTTTAGAGTCTTGATTAGGAATCACTAGATTGTAAACAGATTGAAGAAAAAAATGGTGTCTTATTACTTATCATTTGATCATTGTATCATTTTATATTCACAAAGCACAGGCATAGGAGATATTGTCAACTGAGTGGATGTTTTTCATTGTACTCAAGATATTATGTGTTGGAGTTGTTGATGTACATTTTCCCTCCTTCCATTTCAGTTTTCTTATTTTGACTCTATTAATCCTTAACTAAAGTCTGATTTGTTCAGTTAATAGCCAAACCAAGTGTTTAAATAAACAGTGGAATTTTTGGTTTTTTGCCCCCTCCAGATTGAATTCCTGGGCTAAAATTGCACAATTCCTTTCGTCATATAGATCTCAATTTACTCCAGCTGTCTGAAAATTTAGCCTATTGTGTGTTTTTTAATACCAGCCTGCCATCTTCATAAAAATCACACATTTGTTAAAGCAAATTAGAATTAGGTAATTCTAATTTTCAGACTATCATGATACCTCTTAGAAATCCTGGAGGATTAACAAAAGCAAGCCTGAGAATCACCGATATCTCTGAAACCTCAGATACTTTATTCACTGAATATTCCCATAATTTCCAGCTTAGATGGCTTGAGTGTTAACAGTTGATACCTGTTCCTATTTATAAACTAATATTTTATTTGTACACAGCTTTATGAGTCTGATTTTCTATCACCAATTAGCCCAACCCTTAATTTTGTTACAGATCAGAAAACTGAATCATTGAGCAAGTGTGGCACTTGTTGAATATTACAAAGCACATTTTTAAAAGAAGGAATACTTAGAAATTCCTCTCAATTTCTATTGTGTGTGATTTGATTAACTGAATGAAATGTTTGCTTACAGGCTTCCTACCAATGAAAAGCTAAATAAAGCTTTCAAACTTCTTTAGGTCAGAATTCAAGGGATTATCTTGGAAGACAGAGCAAACTTGAGCCCATCATAACAATGAGGGAGTTGTGCACTAATGTTCAAAGGGCCAGGGCTTTCCACCCTGTACAGCTGAACACAGAACGGGTATCATGTAGCTATGGGAAGATTAAAAGAGGTGTCTCTGGTTGCTGAAAATGGAACAGCTAAAGCTGGATCTTTGATCTTTGGTTTGGAGATCTCCTAGGCTTTCTTTCTTATTCTCTCTATTTTTGTCTTTCTTCCTCTCTTCTTAGGTCTGTGCACAGAGCTGAGTACATGATTGAGCCTCTGTGAATATTTGTTTTATAACTTTCTTTCCTGGGCAGGAATTTGGAATGGAATTGAAAGACTTGACTAAGAGAAACATTATAGTCAGGAAAGATTATTTTAGATTTAAACATAGATGAAAATGATTATCTGGGTAAATGTAACCAAGAAAGATCTACGATGTATGATATGGGAATGATGGAATTTGGGRAGGAAGAGAGCAAGGAGCTCTTAATTCTTGAAGGCATCCTTCAAAAATATTAGGTCAAGGGCTGGGGTTGTGGCTCAGTGGTAGAGCCCTTGTCTAGCATGTGTGAGGCAGTGGGTTCAATTCTCAGCACCACATATAAATAAAATAAAGGTTCTTCAACAACTAAAACAATTTTWWAAAAAATTAGGTCAGRTCTATGAGAATGCCATTTTTATAGCTCAAAAACAGTTGAGTATCAGCCATTTCAAATGTTTTAGCCTAATATCCGTATGATTCTAACATGTGATTTTGGCTTCTCTGACTATTTTTTGAAATATGGAAAAGGTTTATTTGCAGGTTGAATGTGTGTACTCGGTTCAATAAGGTTTCCAATGTTGTCACCAATACTAGACTTTCCAGAAAAATTAGCCTTTAGAGAAGACTGATAGAAATTAGCAAGAGTTCCAGGGAATGTGTCAATATGCCTACAACAAGACATATTCCACCAATTTATGAGATGCCTCTGATTGAATTCTCTGACGTCCTAGYCAGCCAAGAAATAGGAAAACTGATAGCCCTAAGTATGCATAAGCATGAAGTATTCAGTTCATGTTTTAAAAAAAAACCAACCACCATTTCCTTCTTCATATCAGGTTCTCCCAGGACAGTCTTAGGCTGTGGAAATAGTACATGCTTGCCTAACGCTGCAGGTATTTTTCCCTGGATTTAGATCACCCAATGAATTTAAACAAGTTATGGTTTTAATTTCCAAAGGAAGCCTTAAAGTTCTAAGTCTTCACCTATAACAAGCCTTCCTTTTGCTCATGGTAAACAAAATTCATACATGTGAGTGTCTGAATCCCAGATTTTTAAAAAAATTGTTAATTTAAAATTCTTTGAGCCAAATAGATATTTAGGATTAGAGGGGGAAATGGATAGGAAGAAAAGACTAAGGCTGAAAAGAAACTTAATAGCCTTTGCTTATGTGAGAGGAAATCCTATCTGAAGAAGAGTAGACAGGTGTTCTTCATCTCAGTTGAGCCCAGACCAGAGGAATTAAATTTACAGCAAGAGAGACTTAGCTTAGACCTTAACAAAAAGTTCACTGTTCTTGGGTATGTTAGAAATCTTGTTCTTTTTTTTTTTTAAGATGGAAAATAATAGGTAAGTAATAGTATGGGGTAAGAGGTAATTTGAGTTCAGCTCAGCCTGGACACTGGAGAAAGGATCAGATTGACTTCTTGTTGCCAGTACTCTGGTTCAATGTGTTCTAGGAGGATTATGGGAGGAGACTGTAAGGTCACATTGCATTTTTACATAGTACAGAATGAATTGCAATCCATCCCCCTCCCCCCAAGCACCTCAGATACAGGTTCACTGTACATACAGTATATATATAAAAAAATCACTTACTTGGATTCCACAGTGGAAGGGGTTTTACTGGTACTGTAATCAGGCTGTGATGGTAATATGGAGCTGAGGAAGCTGGCCGGGGACTGGTTATAGGTGCCTGTAACCCTTTGGCCTGGGTTGGAGCCAGCAAGCGGCTGGGAAGCAGGGAAAGCTGAGGAGGACATGGTGATGTGAGAGCTCACTGTGGAGGTGGCAGAAAACCTTTGTTCTGTGCACTGGCGGGGCTGGATCATAATGGAAGACTGTTTGGTCTGGCTAGAGAAGCTGGATGTTTCCGGTCCAGGAGGCTGCAGTCTGGAGCCACATGGGTTTTGGGACTGGATGAAGTGTTTTGGACGTTCGTAGTTAAACATGCTTAGCTGGCAGATGGAAGATGAAGGCAAGTTATTACTACAATGATTTGTTCCTGGAAAGGCGGGGTCCTGAATGTGGGGCTGCAAGTCTGGAATTAGGGAAGGTCTTAACAAATCAGAAGCAGCCTTGGTCTGCCCCTCCTTGCTGGGATCTTGGGAATAGTGTGCTTCTGGCTTTGGTAGAGTGGGCTTCTCTTGATGAATATTGTTCCTTCAAAAGGAAAAAAATAATTAAGTTGTAATTTTTATTTAAACAATATTGTTTATTTGACTTTTTTTTTTTTTTTTTTTTGCTTTTAAGGTTGTAGGACTTTCTGGCTTCTGGACTTTCCCTCCCTTTATCTGTATCTTTGCACACATGACTTTCCCCCTGAGAATAGGTAAAAATGATTCATTAGTGTTTGTTTACCCCGGGGAATAGCTTATATAGGGGCTTCAAAATGTAAAAGCATAAAATTGTCTTTTCCGAGAGGTTGTTTTCTAAAAATATTTTTTAGTTGTAGATGAACACAATATCTTTATTTATTTTTATGTGGGGCTGAGGATCGAACCCAGTGCCTCACAGTGTGRGGTAAGCACTCTACCACTGAGCTACAGCCTCAGCCCCTCCAAGAGGTTATTTTTAAAAAGAAATTCTTTGATGATGCTCAGTGTGATAAGTGTATAATCTCATAATTAACTTTTACCCAGATGCTGAAGATTTATTAACCATAGAGATTTTATGATTTAAAATTAATAGCAGTTAGGGTTGAGAATGTAGCTCAGTGGTAGAAGACTTGACTGGCATGTTCAGGGCCCTGGGTTCAATCCCTAGTTTCACAAAAGCATAAATAAATAAAAAGATAAATAATAGCAGCTAAATATATAAGGTCAGCCTCTGTTCAGTATGAAGTCTTCCCATTGCTCATCTAAACAGATTAATTGTCCTTCTGATATACCAATTAATTAATATCCTGATGGTCTCTGATGAACAACATCTTGGTAAAACAAGGGAAGCAATATGCTTCATTTATGAAGAACATGACTTTARTATTTATTCTTTATTCTTTTGCCCTTTCTCAATTTTACAAAGTAGGGTGAACATCTACAACTCATTTTTTATCAACTTCAAGTGGATTTTTTTCAGTCTTACAGTTCACTGTCTCTTTCTTTCCCCTTAATTCCAAGTTGGCTAACCTAGATGGTAATTAAGGATTGCCTTTGTGTATGCTTGTCTCTGTATATAAGTTACAGACTGCATTACAAAGCCACTAGTAAATTTTTTTTTCTGTTATTTATAGATTATACTTTCTAGTTATTGGTCTTGATGTTCTCTTAGAGTTTTACCTTTTATTAGTTGTTTAGGATGTCTTTTAGACTAATTTTGGAAAGGTTTTAGCTTCTCTTACTTATTCTTTTAAAATAGCAAATAGGAAGTAGAGATGGAAAGCACTTAAGAAGTTAGTCTGTCCTTGGAAAAGAYGATACTATTTTCCTTACTTGGCTCTGCAGTGGCCTTCTTGCCTTCCTACAGTAGTAGATTCTTATCTTTTTATTTATTTGCCATTAAAGTAAACTTGATTAATAGCAGTTAGGGCTGGGGATGAGGCTCAGTGGTAAGAATCCATGCCTAGCATGCACAAGGTCCTGGGTTCAATCCCCAGCACACACACACACACACACACACACACACACACACACAAAAGCAAAACAAAACAACAACAAAACCTTGTAGGATTATATTTGCTGCTGATTTTTTTCATTACTATGAAAAATCTAAGCAAGATTATAAATAGACATAATACACAAAGATTAGCCATATATATTATTGTAACATTGACCCTATTTTTATTCAAAATATCAGATAATTTAATTCAAAGTAYGTTTGGTTTGTTTCACATAGTATGAAACAATACTAAGATAATGATAAATCAAACTTTTAACCAAAAAAAAAATCAACCAAATTGTTTATCATCATTGAAACAAAGTCTTATAATTATTTGAGTTAAAACTGAAAGAAAATATCAGTATTAGCATTTTTTTCCAGATCAAACCAACTTCATTCTAAGGTTGTATATGTAGCTTAGAGTTAAATTAAAACTGGCATTTTTAGGAAAGAATAAAATACAACTAAATAGTCAAGCAAAAGAGTCTCTTGAAAGAGGACACTTAAAAGATTTATATTCCTTAATTTAAAGTTTATGAACACAAATGCCTTCAACCAGAGAACATTATAGAAATCAACTACATTAGGCCTTTAAATTGTTGGGGGAAAACATCCAGAGGGCTTTAAGTCAGTCTCCTCAAATAAAAGGTTTCTATTTTAAGGCAAGTCGTTCTGTAGTTACGGGTTTATTCACTCCAYTGCAGAAGTGAATCTAGAGTTTATTTCCTAATTTCTTTTCTGGGTAGATACATTATTTGGACTCATTCAAGTAACTCATTTCAAGTAACAAGGAATAAACTATTTAACAAATAGCYAGTACATATTTTCCCAAAAGAGTTTCCTATTTTTCTTTACACTAATTTTCAGAATATCTTTACATACATTTTTTTTTCTCTCTCTCTCTTTTTATTTTTTAAACATATGGTTTCAAGAATGTCAACTATCTTGTACATTTTGGGGATGGACCTACATAATTTCTGATACTTTTTAAAGCTCAGTTAAAAATATGATCTTTTAAGAGTTTCATTTTATCTATGTCTCAATAAACTTTTATGCAAATACTTATACAGATAACTCCAAAAGTCTTTTTTTTTTTTATTTGTAGTTACTCTTCAACAATCCAATTCTATCAGAGGTTTGGTTACAAGACAGTATTCTTTTATTCCAAGTATTGTTGAGTCAATTCAAAGATTTTATAAATAAAATAGTCTCCTACTTAAAAAATACTAACTTAAAATATTTTAAAAATATTAACTATTAAAAATATTTCTAATAGAGCAGAGACTGCACGAAAAATAGGGGGAGGGTTTTTGAGACCATAGGACATCATCACAATTGCAGTCAGATCAAGCGTTTCAAGGAAAAATGATGCTTTAAAAATAATGACACACAACCATCTTTCTCTCTGACCTTTGTATAAATGCCTTCCAGTTTCCATGGAATGAATAGGTTACTTTCTCTTTAAATCTTTATAAAACAAAGATTTAATATTGGGACTTTCAGACTTTTTAACTGCAGATTGTCTTTGGACCCATCCCTCTGATTTGGACAAAAAACAAAAGCAAAACTCCAAACTGTAGCATGAATAAAGAAGGGACTTACCCGTGGTTCCAGAAGTTGCCAGCTGGGTTTAACCCACTATTGAAGGGAAGGAAAAGGCATCTCCTTCCCTCACGGGCTAATCTAGTGGCTCTGTGCTTAGTATTATAGCACCACTGACTTTTATCAGCTGCCAAACAGTGACATCTGATGTGCTTGCCTGTCCATCTACCTATGCTGGCATATCAAAGTAAGAGTCCACAATCTAAACAATATCTCAGATGTCTTAGTGATATTTAAGGAGTGGGATTACATGAGCTTCTCTTGCAGGCCTCTTTATTTTAGACACGAAGTTTGACTATGAGCTTAGCAAGCTTCTGTCGGGGGAAGAGCAGTAAATTGGGAAATGGGAAAAAGTATAAAGAAAACTCAATTTATTTACTGTGATGGGGACTTGGATTCTTCCCTGTTGAAGAGACAAGAACTAAAGGAAAAACAGCATTCTAAGATAAGGTTTTCTATCTAGTAAAACTTCTCCAGTGATAAGACCAGTGGTGGACTGGTTCCAAATCGACTTGTATTGCATCATTCTTCATCTGAAAGCTCTTTTTCCACTTGCCTAATGAGAGTGAGGGTGGAGTTTGATTCAAGCAGTTTGTTCAAAGAGGAGGTGTGGTCTGGGCAGAGGCAGAAGAGCAGGGTCATGCTGATATGTCACTGGGAAAGTAGGCAGATGGGAAAACATAATTTAGCTTTCTAAGCAAGTTTCTGAATCTGTCTGGTGTATGCCCCTTTGACTTACAACTTTTATTCTAAAAGAGTTTTGAAATACTTAAGGAACAACCAAACAAATAAGCAATCCATGCAGGCTGTCAATCTTCCTTCCTTCCTTTCTTTTTCTTTTATTCTCTCTTTTCTCCCAACAGTTAGTTTCCTTTCTATTTTTCTCATGGAGACCATTATAGCATTTAGACTTCCTTTATTATTTTATTTTATTCGTTTATTTGGATGTGGTGCTGAAGATCGAACCCAATGCCTCATGCGTACTAGGCAAGTGCTCTACCACTGAGCTACAGCCCCAACCCTAGACTTCCTTTTTTTCTAATTGAAATTTTACTTATTCATTTTTTACACATGTAAGTAAAAAACTATGGAAGAAACCTTCAAATCAATAAAAATGGTGGAGTGAGGTAGGTGGCCTGAGGATCAGGCCAATGGAGTAGAATTATCTCCATTTAATGATTTCAGTCCCCCTCCCTCACAGGTAGATACTCCAATCTGGATTTAATTACCACGTGCCTTCAAGTCCAACAAATAGATGTTTGAACACATTAAAACACACGTAAAACTCATCACGACTGACCATGTTGGGGTTCCTTCCTTTGATACTCAGTGAAAGTTTGGTAATCACTGCCTGAGCATGCAGCCATTACTTAGTAGAGAAAGCATGCTACACTTGATGAGTAGGTGGCTGCCTACAAATTCTTATTTTAGGAATCTCCCAAAATATTTCTCCACATCTGCTCATTGATATTTCAAATTCCATTAACAGGAACAAAACCTTTCAATCCAAATTAAAATGAGATGCAAGTGACATAGAAATAATAATAGCTAACACATAACAGCATCTACTATGAATAAGATGCTATTCTAAGTATTTTAAATGTCATATATGTGACTGCCATTTGGTGCTGCCTGAGAACAGGATTTGATGAGGGTAAGGAAGAGGAGCTATTAGATTTTAGGTCTCTCAGTACAAAAAAATTTGAAATGCACTTGCCAAGTAGGTAAGATGGCCAGAAAAACTGCTAATCCCCAATTATAGTAGATTCTGAAAATACTATAATTGAGGAAGAATTTCAGTTCTGGTTATACTTTGTCCTTCAATATTTGCCTCTTCTTATCTTTAGGGGTTTGCAAGATATAATGTGGGCTGCAATGTAATACATGTGGCCACCTCCAGTGTTCATCAAGGCTAGTGTTCTTCCTATAATAAGGRGATTAAGGCATGATTCAGGTGTATTTTGTGACACCGTACTTAACAGTTAAGGATTCATATTTAATAATATATTATGAGTCTGTTTTTTTCTACTTTTTAATGAATTGTTTACTTTTTTGAATTGTGTTTTAAGTTCTGTCACAAATGTGGCTATTTGAATGGTTATTTGAGAAAAATAGCCACTGCTTTTATCTTTTTAAGAAAAATCTTAGAATCCTAAGACTGAAAAGAATCAGGAAGATAGCAAGTGGATGAACCTTATTCCAACTGTTTTCATTTCTTTTTCTAAGTTATCAGTTAGGGACTCTAAAAAATCAATCCAATGCGGTTATTCCCTACTATCTCTTTGAAATCTTCCCTACTGCAGATTAGGGGAATTCTTTGACCTATTGTCAGAGGAAACAGGATTACTATTCAGCTGTCATTCACTCTTCTTTATATATAGCTATTATTGTTTTTTTTTAAATGTAAAGTGTATATKCGAAAAAAAGATTGATTCTGTGAGATACTTCTAAAGTCATAGTCAGATGTCCATGATAAAGATCATTTCTGTTATGTCAACTGAAAGGACTAATTAATGAAATTGTATTTACTTCAGGGTACACATAATTTATTATGGTTATTGAGATTCTGCACAGAGATATAGTGAAAAGGAATTTGACTTTTATAGAAGAAGAAATGTTCAAAACAATGAAGGTGGTGGATGGAGGCAGGTGACCTGAAGATTGGGTCAGTTGAGTAAAATGATCTCCATTTGATGGCATTTATAATTTGAAATACCCAGTTTGCCATTTGACTTGATCTGATAATCTTCTCAAGCAAGAAATGAAAATGTACTCCACTGAATTTGGCATCAAAGAGTAAAAATGATAATAACATTAATTTGACTAATGTTCTAAAACTTTCTTGACATATTACCTTTTTTATAATCTGTTTTAGAGACAGGAGTGGGAATATTCTACCACATACTTGCTATGTACACTTAGTCAAGTTGCTTGAACTTCAATCTTTAATAACCAATTGAAAATGGAGCTAGTGCCTGCTTTACCAACCTAAACAAGATGATGGTGAGGGACTTGAAATGGGAAGTCATATACAGACTGTCCTATGGGCACAATATACCTCCTCAACCAGATTCAAATATTTCTGAAGGAGGGGCTGTTTAATTATTTATCTTTTTGATTGGCAAAGTATAGCTCATAGTAGACAGGAAAATTTTGTTCGCTTTTATGGAAATTTTACTCAATAGTTTTCTCCACAGATGATTTTATAAAATTAATAAATAGATAAATAAATAAATAATAGAAGTTCATGTCTCACTTTGTTATCAGAGAATTTCAATATGCAAATGGATATTCAATATTTCTTTTCTTTCCTTTTTTTTTTTTTTTTTTTGGTACCAGGGATTGAACTCAGGGCACCCAACCACTGAGCCACATCCCCAGCCCTCTTTTGTATTTTATTTGGAGACAGGGTCTCACTGAGTTGCTTTGCGTCTTGCCATTGCTGAGGCTGGCTTTGAACTCACAATCCTCCGTCCCYGCCTTCCAAGCTGCTGGGATTACAGGTATAATGTACAATTTTACATTTAACAATCCTTAAATAATAACAACAACCAAAGATGGTAATCTCCCATAAAAGATACCATCTTACAAATTCAATGCCTGTAAAACCTTAAAGGCTCACTGATACTCATGAAGAAACCTTTAAGATGTCAGTATTGGCCAACTTCCAAGGCAAGTCTAGCACAAAAACAGACAAACATACAGAATGTGGTTAATAAATGATTGTTGAATAAATTGCAGTCTTATCTATTGTTCCACCCACCCACTCTTCCTGGACCCCATCAGGAATCTTTATTTATAGAAGTAGTTACTGCTTGGGTAACTAGAGATACCAGAAGCTAGAGTGATTCCTGGAGACTAACCCGGAAACCACAGTCATGGGCCCTTACTGGAGACCTATTGTTCCTGATTAAAAAGAAAACAATGCAATGAGAGCATGTTTAGTGTAGTAAAGTAATAGCTACCACTTATTTATTTATATTTGCAGTGCTGGGGATTGAACCCAGGGTCTTGTGCAAGCTAGGGGAGTGATCTGCAACTGAGCTACTTCCCACTCCTCTTGTTATTTATTGAGTCCCTACTATGTTCACATACTTTGTTTTGGGTCTATTAGTTTCCAAGTCCAAAGTCCCTCACTGTCTTCATTGCAAGGAAAACTTGAAGTATGTATCCCAAGGTCATGGAAACATGAGGAAGGAGCTCTCGACAACATGAGCTGATCTGCAATTTGTGTCATTTGTAGAATTAAAAACTTGAAGCAGATGGCCTCTAGTTGTTTCTATCAAACATGATATATTTCTCTTACCTCATAGACCTAAATACTACCCAAGAAATCTTTTCTTTTTTCCCTCTCTCTTCTCTTCTCTCCTTTTCTTTTCTTTTCTTTTCTTTTCCTTCCTTCCTTCCTTCCTTCCTTCCTTCCTTCCTTCCTTCCTTCCTTCCTTCCTTCCTTCCTTCCTTCTTTCTTTCTTTTTTTCTTTCTTTCTTTCTTGGATTGGAGGAACTCAAACATACTTTATCTCTAAGCTACATACTCAGCCCTTTTTATTTTTTATTTTGAGCATGCCAAGCTTCCACCTTAATCTTCAGAGTTGCTGGGATTACAGATATGTGCCACCCACCCAAGAAAAATTTTCTTAAAAAGGATTTCAATATCTTTTTTTTTTTTTTTTTTTTTTTTTTTTTTTTTTGCTGGGGAGCACCAGGGATTGAACTCAGGTAAAACATGCCACTCATGTCAGGGGTATTCAACTACTGAGCCCCATGCCCAGCCCGATTTTGTTTTTTATTTAGAGACAGGGTCTCATTGAGTTGCTTAGCACCTTGCTTTTCCTGAGGCTGGCTTTGAACTCGTGATCCTCCTGCCTCAGCCTCCTGAGTTGCTTGGATTATAGGCATGTGCCAGGATGCCTGGTGATTCTATTATCTTTTTATTTTCTGGTTAACAGAGGCCACAATTAGTTATACTTAGTAGTCAAGTATGATGAGATATTAAGTTTTTAAAAGTGTTTAAATTAAAGATAACATTTAGGTTGGTGCAGTATTTAGTGTCATATGTTAAATATTGCTAAAACAAAATTTAAATTTAAAATGTGCATTAATTTTT